ACTTTAGAAGCCCCATTGGATAATATGGGTTGGGACGTAAACTAAGTGAGAAGGGAAAGTCCTTTCAAGTATGGAAACGGAAAAGAACCAATCTGGGCGGCAGTTTAAAAGTTCCACAACTTATAAGTTTTCCAAGGGGGGAATATGTTTCCAAGACCCTCCACTGGGAGACCTGAAAACCCACCAGATTCTACCAAACCCTATGTATACTGTTTTTTTCCCTATACAAACATACCTAATGACAAAGTTAAATTCATAAATTAGGCACAGTAAAAAGATTAACAACAAAACTAATCATAAAAATAGGACAATTATAACAATATACTGCAATAAAATTATATGTGATCTGTCTCTTCCTCAAATATTTTATTGACTGTGCTCACCTTTTCATTTAAAGGAAGCACTTTTCGGCTTCTTTTTGGCATATCCAAATTGCCAGCATCACTACTTTGGGCTTTGGGGCCATTGCAAAGTGAAATAAGGGTTATTTGAACACATGCACTATGATACCAATCTGATAACCTAGATGACCACTTAAGTGACCAAGGGGCGGACAGGGACTTCAGCACAGACCTCCTGGACAAAGAGATAGAGCAGACAGAGAGGGATTTCATCATACTCAGAACAGCACACAATTTAAAGTTATGAATTGTCTATTAAATTACTTATTTCTGGAATTTTCCATTTAATATTTAAGGACTGAAGTTGACTGGATAACAAACTATGGAAGGCAAATCATAATAAGGGAGTACTATTGTGTATGATATAAAATAGGTCGGGCAAAGCCTGGCAATAGAAAACAGGATTGGTTTATACTGTGACCAGCTCTGGGCTCAGCTTCATCTGTTTGGAATTCCAACAGGACATTCTAAGATGGCAAAGGGCCCCACTGTGACAGAGTTAGGACACTTTCTGCCTAATCACCAGCAAGAAATACCAGCTATTTTGGTTTTGCAGAGGCAAAGGATAATAATACTATCCTTCTGGCCGTCTGGTTTGTGACGAAACCAACTGTCCTCGCCTGGGCACCAGGATATGGGAAGAAGAAGGTAGTGGAAGGTACAGCTCAAATCTTCCCGATGGTAAAAGCAAGGACCAAGCTCATCGTGTCACTGGTAAAGTCACCTGAGTCCTAATTAACAATAAGGAAAACTTCCC